TATATAGAGAGAGAGAGAGAGAGAGAGAGAGAGAGTTACGAGATAGCTCTTTGGTTAAAAGTACTGACTACTCTTGCAGAGGACCAGGTTTTGGTTTCTAGCACCCACATGGTAGCTAACAACTATCTCTAACTCCCATACCAAGGTATTTGACACCCTCTTCTGGCCTCCCTGTTTACTTCGCACATGCAGACAAAATGTTTATGCACAGAAAATAAAAATAAATTTTGAATATATATAAATATTTATATATTATAGGTATTTTTTTGGTCTTTTTGAGACAGGGTCTCCCTATAACCCCAACTGTCCTGGAACTCACTATGTAGACCAGCCTGGCCTTGAAGTCACAGAGATCCACCTGCCTCTGCCTCCCGAGTGCTGGGATTATACCATACCTGGCTTATATATATTATAGGTATTTATAAAATATTAAAGCAAGTTATTGTCAGAAATTAATAAAATCACAAGAGCCAATGTTTAGTAACTTGCCTTCAAAGTTATACTCAGAATGCATTCATTCCTTGGTATCTGAAGAGGGCTGTTTCCAGGACAACTCCTGGATAACAAATTTTGTGGACAGTTAAGGCCATTATAGAAAATGGCATGGCATTTGCATATAACCAGTTCATATACTCTTTTAGTATTTTTCTGTATTGTTAGGGAATAATTACATAAATATACAAATTAATCTGATTAAATTCAGTAGAGAAGTTTAACAGTCCAATTCAGGCAGAAATACTTATAGCTCAGAACTATCAGGAATGAAAGATGAAATTACCATGCTTTGTAAAGCACCATGATCAGATGAAAAGCATGCTAAATGAAAAGGAAACAAATAATGTAAAGCAAAAGGTAATAAATATAGGCTTTGACCATACAGTTTGAGAAATAAAAGATATTATTCTTATGAGATTTCCCCTCTTATAAAATGCATCTGTGTATGTATGGAAATATGTGCAAATGCACACACACACACACACACACACACACACACACACGGATTTGGTGTAGGTGTGAGGTTTCTCCCAAAACCTCATATATTGAAAGAACTGGGCCTTAGAGTGGTGATTGATTCATATTTTCAACATCTCTGGGAAATTCCTGGATAATGCTGTTTGAGAAGCACAGTTATAAGGCACATCCCTAATAAGACTTTTTTTTCCTCTACTCTCACCAGGACCTTTGCCTAACTTAATATAATTTCTCATCAGGAATTAAAATATGTTTAAATTTAAGATGCCGTTTACAGTAGGAGGACAGAGTTACTTTGGGACTATCACTTGAAAAAAATGTAGAAAGCTACTCTATTAAAATTAAGTTTAATTAATGCAAACATCATAAAAATCAAAACATTGACGCTATTCAAATTTATATTTAAACCAAAATTGACATAGAGTCATCAAATGTGTATTTTATAGTCGAATATAATGGATAAAGTGTAATTTCAATTATTAAAACTAGAACCGCTTACAGTGACTCGATGTTTATCATGCTAAAGTTTAGAAAATATCCTCTGGGATGACCTGGATATTTTATTCATCTCCAAGTCAACAATGCCCAGTTGAAGATCTTCACTTTACCCTATAGGGAATCCTGAAGCACTCAGGGGAATTTCAGCTCTCCAAATCTTCCTCCCTAGAAAAACACACAGGTATGCAACTGGGTGACAATATGTTCAATGGACAATTATATAAACAACATTTTCCTTAGGTTTGGAAGTCAAGCTTTCCAAGTGAATCAGTAAACAAAGAATTGCTATGGGCGTTATCACTTAAGTGCTGCCGTGTACTGTTCCTGCTCCTGAAAAAATCCATTCACTTATTTAAAGTATCTCCACAACATCTTAGAAAATATTGGTAACATCGAAAATATTTCATCATAATAATATTCATTAAGGTTTGAAACTTGTAAAGTTTAAGGTTTCCAAACTTAACAGTAATTTTCAAACTGGTGTACAAAGTGCCGACATAGCCAGGGTAATGCAAAGCAAAGTATGAATAAGCTGCATGTTTTATTTTTATGACTAAGATACAGAGAAGCAGTATTCCTGTAAGTTGAAGTTCTCCCTGAAACAAGATTGATTACTTTGTTACCCTATTTATAATGACTTCATCAGTTGTGGTAAGATAGAATGTGAATACTTCAAAACTTATTTTTAAGAGTTGAAGATAATTCTTGTATAAGAAATAATTAATCTGATATAAAAACCACATATAATTATGTTTTCTGATTAAAATTAAAGTTCTGCCAACTAAATAATAACTTTTCTATAGCTTTCTCTGTGACAATAGTTTCATTGTATATTATATTGCTCTCTATAGTACTTATAAATATATGCATAAAAGAATATTAATCATTTATAACAATATTAGTGCATAGATAAATATGTATATGATGATTGGTACATTAATGCATAAATATATGCATGTAATTGTACATATATCACTTATATACAGTAATACTAGTTCTGCACTCATAGATACATGTATATATATTATTTATATACACATACATTTTTATATCTATATGTATATATGTATATGAACGTGTATGTCCTGAATTTGCGAATTGAAAAACACACACAAACTGAATTTGAGGATTTTCAATGATCTCGAGATTAGGGATATCATGGGAAAAAGACTGTTGCCTATAAAATTTTACTTAATAAGTACAACCACTGCCTCAAGATCTCTTTGACTCCTTTTATTCTGCTAAAAATCAGATTGCTTTGATATGAAATTAACCTTCAGACAGTGTCAATATACTTAGAAAAAGATAAAATTTATAGTCAAAACCTCTTAATCATATACAAATTCTATAAGAAAATAAACTGAATTTTCAAACAAAGCATTCTTAATGAACAGTAGGGTTAGTAAAAACATTTGACACAAACCTGTGAGCTTCTCCCATTATTTTTGCTTTGAACTTTCTCCTGCTCCCTCTCTCATCTGCTTGACTGGGCTTTATTGTGTTTATCTGACTATGACCTTCATCTTTGTATATTTCTTTTATGTTACCTTATTCTTTTCACCCACCCAATTTCTCGCTCATATCATCTCTCACTTTTCTCCTCTGATTGACTTGCTTTTCTCTTAATTTGGAATACTTCCTTTAGAGAACTTGCTTAACTATTTACAGAAGAAATGAGTTAGATGTGTCTGCCAATTATAAACAAATGGCCCCTGCCCTCTTCATTTGCCAGAGTGTGCTTCGTCATTTTTTTTGTTCTCATGCCACTCCTTTCCCATTAGCATCCTTCTAGTCTCTGACCTTAATTCCATTCCAAGAAAGAAACTGCTCTCACTGAAGCCACTAGCAATCTTTATACTTCCACTCAGCAATTTCCCCGCTCTCTATCCCTAGGGCGTGTATGTTTGCACTCGGCACTGTGCTTCTCTTTGCTCTTATTATTTTTGGTTTCCTCATGTCCACAGCACTCAGATTTCTATGGCTATTTCTGCTGGTTTCTTTGCTCACCCCATTTGCTATGAGTTTTTTTTCTCCATTGTCTCCGTTGGACATTCACAATTGAGTTTACTGAATAAAGTTTGGTGCTAACATAGGAAATGGAGAAACCCGTTAATGATTAAAATGGTAGGGGTAGAAGGAAACCAATAGTCAATAGTGAACATTTCATTACAACATGGAGAGGTATTGCTAGACATTACTCCATGTTACTGTTGGAATTTATCAATATCCCTTGTAGTTGGTGCTAGTGCTTGAGTATTGATGTCTTGACATTTTTATCTTGGCTATCTTAGTCAATAAAATTGGTTTTGTCCATGTATGCTTCTTTCCATTCATTCTTGTATAAACTTAGGCTGAGTGGGCTTGAGTGGGCAAATCTCTATGTCAAAACCCCTGTCTGAGACCGAGAAACATGCAATAAAAGTGCAGATCAGATTTTGGTCATGTAATAGATAACATCACCTCTTCCATATTACTTTCTCAAGTTTTCTACTTTCTCCACCATGTTGATGCACAGCTGAACAGAATTGTGGTTCATAGCTGTACTTTTTCCTACCCAGAGACTCCTGATTGTTTGTAATACTCTAGGGGAGTCATAGTGTGCACTTCGTCTTACCTGGATGTTTAGAAGAGTCTTACACTACCAGATTAGCAAGTCATCTATTTGCCTGACCTGCTACACAGTACCAAATCACTCCTCTACCTTTATTGATTCTGACATCAATGCTGAATATGTAGCAACGATCTGGTAACTCTACTTTCTAAAAACTTTAGAAAATATTTCTTTTTCTCCCTATCACACCCAGCGCCCTGTCACACAAATATAAGGCAATTCTGAAGAGTTTTCATTTCATATAAAAAAATTAAAAGACTTCTGATAAGGATGATTTCATATCAAACACCAACCCGTTCCTGACTTAAAAAATACTAGAGCATGCTCCTTTACATTTATTTTATATCCTTTTAGGGAATGTCTAATGAGCAGCCCATGGAAAAAGAGAACGCAACACTGCTGACAGAGTTTGTTCTCACAGGACTCACAGATCATCCAGGGCTGCAGGTGCCCCTGTTCTTGCTATTCTTGATGATCTATCTCATCACAATTGTGGGGAATCTAGGTCTAATTGCTCTCATCTGGACGAACCCTCACCTGCATATCCCTATGTACTTTTTCCTTGGGAGTTTGGCTTTTGTAGATTCCTGGATATCATCCACAGTGACTCCTAATATGCTGGTCAACTTGTTATCCAAGAGCAAAATGATATCACTTTCTGAGTGCATGATACAATTTTTTGCCTTTGCATTTGGTGGAACCACAGAGTGTTTTCTCTTAGGGGCAATGGCATATGACCGCTATGTAGCCATATGCAAACCTTTGCTTTATCCAGTGATTATGACCAACAGACTATGTATTCGATTACTAGTTTTAGTATTTGTAGGTGGCTGTCTTCATTCCTTGTTTCATGTGGTATTTTTATTCAGATTAACCTTCTGTAATTCTAACATAATACATCACTTTTATTGTGATATTATACCATTGTATAATATTTCCTGTACTGACCCTACTCTTAATTTGCTCTTAGTATTTATTTTGTCTGGTTCAATACAAGTATTTACCATTATGACTGTTCTTGTTTCATATACACTAGTTCTGTTTACAATTTTAAAAAGAAAGTCTGTCCAAGGCATAAGGAAAGCCTTCTCTACCTGTGGAGCCCATCTCTTGTCTGTGTCTTTGTACTATGGGCCTCTTCTCTTCATGTATGTGCTCCCTGCATCGCAACAATCAGATGACCGAGGTATGATGGACTCTCTGTTTTACACAGTCATAATTCCTGTGTTAAACCCAGTCATCTACAGTCTGAGAAATAAGCAAGTCACAGATTCATTGAAAAAAATCTTAAAGATAAATGTTTAAATGTCTTTTCCATTCTAAAACTGTCAAAGCATTCTCTAGTTACATATTTCTTTGTTTTAGAGAATGTTCAAACTCTTGTAACTGCAATCCTCATACCTATTTTTTACTCTAATTAAATAAGTCCTTCAAACAGTTAATGATGATAAAATTACATAGCTAATAAAATCACTAAAATGTTTACATTTGTAATTTGAAGTCATCCAAAACAATTGTATGTCATGCTAAATAAAAGAAAAAAGAATGAAAACATTTTACTAGGGTATGTATTCTTCAATGTGGCTTTATTAATTGACTAGCTATTTAATTCTGGTTCTTACAAAATGACTTAGCAGGATACATGACACAGCAGACAGTGTTGTGTAGGTTGAAGAGTCATTCAACCTACATATTCATTCATTGTGCCATATTCTTACTGATTATTTAAGTTCATGAAAAATCCTAAGACATCTACTACCTCTTTCAACTTCCTTTTTTCAAATTTATTTTGAATAGATGAATTTTAGTACTCATAGAATTTCATATCACATATCATATAAAAATCAAGAGGAAATAGAATGCAGTTGTTGACATAAAAGCAGTACTCTCACTTCAAAAGGGATTAAGAAATAGTTTATTCTGGAGCCAAATATGAATGAACATAGACCCAAAACACAGTTGCAAATCACCACCCAATTTCATGTTCCAATATAATCAGTTTCACGAAAATTTTTTAATAACAGAACAAAAACAAGTTATAAATTAAGGCATGTTTCAAAATCATTGGTGGAAACATTAGACGGTTACAGCAAAACAGAGAAATCACAGCCATAGGCCTCAGATGTTGTTGATGACATTCAGCCTTATGGTTGGTGAAAGCTAGGATTTTGTTAATACAAACCAGAGGTTTTTGATCTGTTAGTCACAGGTTGTTAGGTCAGACACAGTGGTCAGCAAGAAATGGCTTTATGGGAAGCTAAAGATAATCAAGATCAATTGTAAATAGTTTCTGGAACTGCAACATTCCAAACTCTCCACTCTCACTGAGGTTTTAATCAGTTGATTAAGCCTTACACAAGATCAATCTGAAGGCACACATCTTTTCTGGGACCTTTCAGTCCACATAGCCATAAAAAGACAGTAAAAATAAGATCAAATATTAAGAGCATTCTGTTATTTCAATCTTTTTTTAATCAGTAAAAAGGGACAGCATACCTCTGTTTATGATGTCACAAAAGGATATTTTGTGGAAGGGGGTATGTTACTTGTTTTGTTTTATTTAATTTACACACATACACATATAATTTGATATAGTTTTGTTTAAATTTTTCTTTATTTTTGAAAATTTCTTACAGAAATCCCATGAAATATGATCACATTTATCCCCATCTTTTGCACTCAACCCCCCAATATTTGTTGTAAATAGCGTTAGATTTCATAAGGGCTTTCAATTATATCATTTACCCTCTTGACTAGAACTTTTACTGTTTTCTCTGTATGTTATTAGGTAGCAATTAAATTTTCACTATGTCAAAAAGCTAAAGGATGAAGTAGAAGAACTGAGTTTGTGTGTATGAGGAAAGATAAAGGGGGCAAAATATGAAGGAAATGATCTTAATTTGGCAATTAAAAAAATTAAGCAGGTGAGGCCTGGTGGCACATGATTTTAATCCCAGCATTTGTGAGGCAGAGGCAGACAGATCTCAGATATTAAGGCCAGACTGGTTTACAGAGTGAGTTCCAGACTTAAATAAATAAATTAATAACCACTAAAAAAGGAAGCAAGGAAAAATGTAAATATTATCCTGACTATAATAAGAATGTATTACTGAAAATAAGTATCTTTCAATGAATATTAACGAAGAACAATTAATGTGAAGAAGTTATGGTAACATAGCAACCATGAGCCCCGGGAAAGTAATTTCAAGGAGCAAGTTTGGATGCTTCACTCTCATTCTTCCCTTCCCAGTTAAACACCTCCGTTTTCCCCATTTTCCCCTTGATATCATCTGTCTCCTATTCCTCTTTCTTGGGCTCCTTCTTTCCTTTTATATCCACGGGTGATTCCATTTTTCTATAAACTATTTTCCTCTCTATACTTCTCTGTCACAATTTGAAGATACTCAGATAACTCATTAATCAGTTTCTAATTTCCTTTTAAAATATTTTATTTATTATTTTTATTTTATAGGTATGAGTGTTTTGTCTGCATGTATATAAGGGCATCCATGAGTACAATAACCACAGAAGTCAGAAGAGCATGTCAGATCCATGAAACAGGATTTACAGATGATTCTTAGCTGCTGTGTGTGTTGGAACCTTACCTAGGTCCTCTGAAAGAGCAATCAATGCTATTAAACACTGAGCCATCTCTCCAGCCCCTACTTTCTAATTTCTTAGCAGTAAAGATTATATTGAACAAATAAAAATATTTTACTATCCTTGGATTACAGGCCACTATGGAGATTTCAAAACTAAATGCCTCCATAAGTAAATTAAGGGCTTTTTAAATGAATGTTTATGAAAAATTCCATTAGCACTCAAAGGAAAATCTGTACAGGTTGTTATATATGCATTTCTTAAGTCTTCCTCCAAACTGGAGTAATCCAGCAGTCTTTGACCTACCTTGGAATCCTCTGTTTCTCTCACCTTCCTCCTGTCTTCTCTCTTCCCTGGCAATATCCATTTGCAATTGGTTTAATCAGTATTAAAGCTTTTCTAATTATGACTCTGCTTGTCAATTGTTCAGAGAATTGCCATTCCACAAAGGAAGATTCGTGAGCCACAGTTCTATAAACTGTAGTAGAATCTATATTTCAGTGAGCCAGTTTAAACTGGCTAAGCTGGGTGAAGGTCTGGAATTTGAGCCACAGTTTTCATGATAACTTCAGTTGGGGTTCGCTCCTGAAGAGAATCTAGACCTTTGGCTTTACTAAAATCTTGTTTTGATTAGCTCAGACAGAACTATAAAAATCAAAGCACTAGGGCTGGAGAGAGGCTCAGCGGTTTAAGAACAGGGACTGTTCTTGCAGAAGATCCGGGTTGGAATCCCAGCACCCTCACAGCAGCTAAGAACTGTCCATAACTCCAGTTCCAGGGGATCCAACAGACTCTTCTGTCCTCCGTGGGCATTGCACAACACAGGTGCACTTACCTACATGTAGGCATAACACTCATACACATAAAATAAAAAGAGTAAATAAAATATTTTAAAAATAAAAGCACTAAGAACATATTCTATATATAAACTAAAGTTTGTCCAAACATGTCAGAAGTTTTCTACTTCAAATAGAAACTAAAAGAGTTTAATATAATGTAATTTAATTTAATTTTAAAAATACAACAGTGTACTGTAACTTGATGTTAATGATTCCAAAGGCTGTAAACCCAGTGGAACAATTTGAACTTCTCTGTGAGTGGCCCAACTCAACAATGCCCAGTAGAGGAGTCCCTTTGTCCTAAGGGGACTTCTCAAGTTCCCTTGAGGGATTAATTTCTCTTTGCCTTTGATTTTTGGTCAGAGCACATACTTGTCCAGTTTTTCGAAGGCATATTATATATGCAACATTTCCTCAGCTTGAGAAATACAAACTCCAAATGAAACAGTATGGAAGCATTGCTACCTATGTTTTCATAATTTTAGTGATAAAATATAGTAGTTTCCTGTTTTTGAACCCTAAGACTTTTAAACTTGTCCTTGATTTCTTTCAAGATATGGGTAAGAAAGACATGATTTCTGTCATAGACATATTGTTTATAAACAAGATCACATTTTTGTTTAATACATAATGATTTGATTATAATTAGAAGTTATCCAAATAGACAAGTGGAAATAAAAGCTGTTAAAGAATTTTCCACATACCTATTTTTATGACTAAAATCTGAGAAGCAAAATGGGCAGCTGAAGGTTGATTTGTTCCTTAAATGGTGTTCTATCACCTGTGACCCTAACTATGAGCTTATACGAAAAATTATGCATTACCAGAATATTCATTTAAATTGAAATCTACCCGATGCCTTTATAGACATACACAGGTGCCAAGGATCCAATTATGACTTGTAATAATCAGATACATACAGATTAGAGATGCATGTGACAACACCTCAGTGTTATTAGCAATATATATATTTATATATATAATGTACTTATATAATGTTTCTTATATAAGGTATCTTAGTTGAATATGATAAAATATCATACTTCTTAATTAAATGCATATTTAGCCTTGCAATG